TTTTGCCATTTTAACATTTTCAGTATAAAGTCCAGTAGTGTTAAGTATATTTATACTGCTGTGATACATATCTTGAGAACATTTCATTTGCAAATCTGAAATTCTGTACCCATTATTTGTTTTTCATGTAGAAAGCATATTTATTTATTTACTTATTTAATTATGCTCAATTAGCCAACATATAGTACATCTTTATTTTTTGATGTATTGTTAAATGACTCATTATTTGCATATAACACCCAGTGCTCGTCACAACATGTGACCTTCTTAATACCTATCACCCAGATACCCCATCCCCCCACCCTCCTCCCTTCTGTAACCCTCAGTTAGGTTCCCGGAGTCCAGAGTCTCTCATGGTTTGTCTCCCTCTCTGATTTCTTCCCATTCAGTTTTCCTTCCCTTCCACTACGGTCCTCCATGCTATTCCTTATGTTCCACATATGAGTGAAACCATATGGTAACTGTCTTTCTCTGCTTGACTTATTTCACTTAGCATAATCCCCTCCAGTTCCATCCACGTCAGTGCAAATTGTAGGTATTTATCCTTTCTGATGGCTGAGTAATCCCTTGTATATATGGACCACATCTTTATCCATTCATCTGTTGAAGGGCATCTGAGCTCCTTCCCCAGTTTGGCTATTGCAGACATTGTTGCTATGAACATTGGGGTTCAGGTGCCCCTTCTTTTCACTACGTCTGTGTCTTTGGGGTAAATACCCGGTAGTGCAATTGTCAGGTAGTAGGGTAGTTCTATTTTTAACATCTTGAGGAACCTCCATACTGTTTTCCAGAGTGGCTGTACCAGCTTGCATTCCCACCAACAGTGTAAAGAGGGTTCCCCTTTCTCCACATCCTCAGAACATCTGTCATTTCCTGACTTGTTCATTTTAGCCATTCTGACCGGTGTGAGGTGGTATCTCATTGTGGTTTTGATTTGAATTTCCCTGATGGCTAGTGATGTTAAATGTTAGTCATTTTTATGTCTTTTTTGGAGAAATGTCTGTTCATGTCTTCTGCCCATTTCTTGACTGGGTTATTATTAGTAGTATTATTATTTTTTGGGTGTTGAGTTTGAGAAGTTCTTTCTAGATCTTGGGTACCAGCCCTTCATCTGTAATGTCATTTGCAAATATCTTCTCCCATTCCATGGGTTGCCTCTTGGTTTTGTTGACTGTTTCGTTTGCTGTGCAGAAGCTTTTTATCTTGATGAAGTCCCAAAAGTTCATTTTTGCCTTTGTTTCCCTTGCCTTTACAGACATGTCTTGAAAGAAGTTGCTGTGGCCAATGTCAAAGAGGTGACTGCCTCTGTTCTCCTCTAGGATTTTGATGGATTCCTGTCTCACATTGAGGTCTTTTATCCATTTTGAGTTTATCTTTGTCCATGATGTTAGAGAATGGTCGAGTTTCAATCTTCTGCATGTGGCTGTCCAATTTTCCCAGCACCATTTATTGGAGAGACTGTCTTTTTTCCATTGGACATTCATTCCTGATCTGTCAAAGATTGGTGGACCATAGAGTTGAGGGTCCATTTCTGGGGTCTTTATTCTGTTCCATTGATCTATGTGTTTTTGTGCCAATACCATCCCGTCACAGATTTGTAATATAGATTGACGTCAGGCATTGTGATGCCCCCAGGTTTGGTTTTCTTTTGCAACATTTCCCTGGTTATGTATCCTTGGCTGCATGTTCTCATTTAGTACTGTGAATATGTCTTTCCAGCTCTTTTTCGCCTGCAAAGTCCCTATGGACAGTTCTGACGTTATTCTGATGTTCCTCCCTCCGTACATAAGAAATCTGTTCCCCCTGGCTGCTTTCTGGATTGCTTCCTTGGTTCTAAGATTTGCAAGTTTTCCATTTTTAATTCTAATAGTGTATTTATAGAATACTTTGGATTTTCTATGTACACCATCATATTATCTGTAAATAGTCACAATGATCTCCTCGCTTCTTATTCTTTTTGTTTCTCTTGGCTTATAACACTTGGGAGATTCTCCAATGGAATGTTGACCAGAGTAGCATTGCTTGAAGATTTTAATATACCTTTCTCAATATCTGATAGAAAAAGCAGACAAAACATTGGTAAGACATGTGACCTAATTGACATATATGGAACATTACAGAGTAAGTGCAGAATACATTATTTTCAAGTGGTGCTAGAATATTTATCCAAATAGACGATATGTTGGGCCATGAATCAAGTCTACACATTTTAAAAGCCTGAAATTAACTAGGTTATATTCTTAGACTACAGGGAATCGAGCCATAGTCATAATGAAAAGAAAAGCAGGAAGTCCCTCAATGCTTAAAACTTAAATGTAAATTTGCTACATATCCTAAGGGTCAGAGAGGGAATCACAATGGAAAGTCTCGATCTTTCCTACATCAGAGCTCACAGACAATGGCATTCTATCCGTGAAGAGCACTATAAATAAGGTAGACAGGAGTTGAGCCTTAAGTCCGAGTTCTGCCTGCCTCAGCCACACCTGGCAGCCTTGGCATGTGGTCGCCCCCAGCTGCCCTTTCTGGTAGCCGTGAGCTAAGGGGGACAACATAGCCATATGGAAATGGGAAGCTCCCCACTCCTAGTGACGATGGTGCTATTGTATTGTCCTCAGCAGTCCAACAAGATGATTTCTGAGTGAAACATGACACAATAGCAGCTTCTTGACCTTCCTTAAGGTTTGAAAATCATCTTGTGAGTCATCTATCAGAAATATGGTTTCAACATGTGTCCTTTTTTCTGGAAAAGAAACAGATCCAAATAGTAATTATGGTTTCTGAGCACCTGCCCTTGAACTCCATCACACTGCTCTTTGTGGAATTCTCCCTCTTAAACTTCTAAACTATGATGTAGGTATTTTTAGTCACATTTTCTAGATGGTTAGACGGGGGCTCAGAGACGATACGAGTCACGGAGGATTTTAGTGTCAGAGACCTAAGTGGGATCTCCAAACTGACTCCAAATCCCTTGTTATTCCATACACGGAACTCTTTCCCTGTTATCTCTGGTCTTCTCCATCTGGAAACATATCAAGTACCAGGATTTTCTTGTTGTGTGGCCAACTGGAATGAATTCAGCCGGCCTTTTAAACTATGCCCATCATGATCAGTGGAGGACCTTTGAGTAAGATACTCCAAGATCTCTAGGAATAGAGACATTATAATCTGCTTGAGATCTTCAAGTTACTGAAAGAACTATCTTTTTTTTAATTGATTCAGGCTCTAGTATGTTCAGAGTGTGCTGTAAGACAGGTCTGAAATAGTATTTAAAAACACTCAGCTCAGCCTCTTCTACAAAGTGAGACAGTGCTTATAAACATTGCTAAAATAGTCCCTTAGCTATGATTACTTACTTCCCAACCATCGTAGTGTTTATATGGTATGACTATGACTTAACATTAGTCAAAATCTGCAAGGAAAGAACTGAGACAGTGTATGCAAGCTTTAGGGGCACTTCATGTTTCCATTAGTGTTGTGAAAATGAGCTACTCTTTTTTATTCTATAGTCCAAGGGAATGGTGCCAGACATCTCTGAGATGTCTAGGAGTTCTAAAATTCTGACTTTAAATTATCTGTGTGCTTCAGAGATTTGGGCAGGAGAAGGGGAGGAGCCCAGCATCTGTGAACATCTCTGTTACCTGTGTTGACCGTGGGACAGGTGAACTTCTCTAGGCATCATTTTGATTTTTTGGCACTATTGTTAAAGGTACTTTTGTCTCAAGTTCCTCCCTTTAGTAGCAATTCTAATGATAATGGAAATTTTTATCTTTTACCATCCGTGGGCCTGGATCCTGGGCTCCCAGAGAAGCTATCCTTTAACATTTTACCAAGGTCAAAATGACTGGGCCAAGCCTCAGAGTATGGGTCCTATTTCTGTCCCAAGCACATATTGTACATCTGGTTTGAGAAGAAAAAGATAACCCCAAAATGCCATTGCAAACATAAAGATAAGAAAAACAAAAGAACCTCTCTGGCTTCCATAAGATTAGTCATACCAACTTGTACAAACTGAAAACATAAGAGAAAGTCTGTCACTTTCTTGAATGTTCTTCCTCATGATGATATGTAGCTCTGTATGTAAATCAACACAGAACAAATATATAAACCTGCCTCAAATGTTCCTTCCCCGGAGCACTCCCTTTTTTGTGAAGACTGTGTCTCCCAGGCAGCTGTCCTGACTTGGGTTTGAATAAAACTCTCTTCCTTTTTCTCTAAAGTGTTTAAAAGGGTTTGTTCATTCAGTGTCGAGAATAACAATATGTTTTCTTTTTAAGTGAAAAATAAATGTTCCTCGTTCACAACTCCAACAGCAGAGAAGGGCGGCTGTTCTTCATCCTGGAGCTTCCCTGCAGAACCAAGCATATGTATATATATTCCAGCATAAATGGGCTCATCCTACAAGGATGCTTTGAAGGTCCAAGAAGCACTATCCAGTCCATGGGTGAGACCGGAAGGCGAAGCTCTTCACGTTTAGAGCATTAGTTTTTGGGTTTAAAACTGCCTTGGAAATGCGTGAAACCATTGCATTTCCTAAAGCCCAAAGCCTCAGAAGGTCCGAGCGCAGCTGATCTTGCCGGGAGCCGGGAACAGCTCTGCAGGCAGGGGTTGGTGCAGGAAGGGAAGGGGCAGGGCTCTGGGGGTGGTCTGCAGCCAGAGGCGGCCGCGGAATGGGCCGGGTGTGTGTGGGGGGGCGGACCCCGCCCATAGCCCCCGCCCACGCCTGCGCCGCCAAGCAGGTGTTGGCGTGAGGACGGGCCTCCTGGACCACCTGCCGTGGTAGGGAGCCGCGGGCCTGAGGGCGGGTTGGCCGGTAGAGGCAGGCGCGGCATCCAATGGGCTCGGGGCACCACCCTCCCCGACCAATCACCGCATGGGGGTGGAGTTACCTCTCTGAGGGAGGACCCGGAGTGGCCCCGGATGCAGAGGTGGGGCAGAAGGCCAGCTCCCAGAGAGTTCACCTGTAGAGTTCCCGGCTGGGTGAGACCACGCTGTGGGCCGGGGTGGGGTCCCGGGGGTAGGGTGCACCTCGGGTGGGAGTTAGGTCCTCGAAGGAGGCGGGGAGCGAGCTAATCCCGCGAACTCAGATGAGTTTCCTAATCGTTGAAAGTCCTTCAACGGGCCGTATCCCCCAGCCCCGTGAACTCCAGGGCTCCGCTCACCCGAGCTTTTTTGGGATGGGTTGCGGACATTTCAGGGTTTCCCGTGTTCCCCTGGAAGAGTGCACGTAAGGACCGCACACAGTCCCCAAGTTCAGTGGGGTGCCCCCTGTCCCCTGGCAGAGTGCAGGTAATGGACCTTGAGTAGCACCCCGAGTTCAGCAGGGTGTCCCCTGTTCCCCCAGGCACAGGTGTGGCGGTAACAAGCCCCAGAGCCGTCCTCCAACTTAGCATTGTGCCCCATGTTCCCCGGGTATGGTGGTAATGGGCTGTCAGGATTGTGCGGGAGGGTCCTCCAGGTGGGGGCCTGGAGGCTGGAGTAAACTAGACCCTACTCAAGTTGCATGAGGAACAGATGAGTTGAGGTGTTGATTTGGAAGAGTCATTTCGCGTTTCCAAAAATGTCAAAGTCATTGGTCTACTTTAGAATGAAGATAATTAGTACTTAAAAAACAAGTATGTGTTTCCCCTTCTCCCAGAAACCGAAGCAGGTGTGCTTGCCATAGGTCGGAGGTCCTACTTATCCCCACCTGACAGCACTTCTCCCCTCTGGCTCCATGAGACCCGAAGTTTTGAACATCAGCATGTGAGTCAGTGATGCTGCTTGTCACAGGACGTCAGCATTCAGAGAGAGCAGCAGGTCCATTTGGCACAATGTCATCTTCAAGTCAGGACTGGAGGTAAAACTTCTGATTAACCCCAAACCTCCTGGGCTTTCCTCTTTTTTCTAGTTGAGCTACGAAGTAAAACTTAAGTAGCTCTCAGCATTCTCCATTTGGTTCAAGAGTTACTTTCCCTGCGGGTAGAACATTGCAGGGGATCCGATTTTCTCTGTTCATTTATTGCTTACAAAATATATTCTGATCATCTGTTTCCTAGAAGTAACTTTTATTAGAAAGGGAAGGTGAAATTTACTCTTTGTGTGTTTTTAAGATATCTTTTGTTCCTCAATCTAATAGCGTTTATTCAATTGGGCCTAAGATATGGTTGAGCGGCCAGCATCTAGAGTTAGGTGGCTTTTTGTCGTCAGATACAGATTCGGATGATGTCTTGTCATTTGTCAAAGGTGATGTTTCATAATTGATTAGTGTTTTCATCAGAAGAGTTACAGTTAGGGTCAAGGGAAAAATCAAAATTATTCAAAGCAGGCTTTTACTGTTTAAAAGTTGAGCCTGAGTTTCTAGTTTTTCTAAATGTATCCTCTAGATATTTTGACGTGCTGTATTTTCTCTGTAGTTTCTTTGGTGGTGGAGTCAGAAGGAGAGTGTTTGGGAATTCTGGATGGAGGCATGCTGGTGTCAGGAGCACTGGGCTGAGTTCTGGAACTGCTTGCCTGAGCCTAGGTGCGTCAGGTTATCCCACAGAGCTTCCGTTGACTCCTTATGAAATTGCTGGAAGGTAATGTCTATGGAAAGTCTTTTTTTTTAAACATTTTATTTATTTATTTGACAGAGAGATAGCGAGTGGGAACACAAGCGGGGGGGGGGTGGGAGAGGGAGAAGCAGGCTCCCCACTGAACAGGGAGCCTGATGCGGGGCTCGATCCCAGGACCCCAAGATCATCACCTGAGCCGAAGGCAGACGCCTAACGACTGAGCCACCCAGGCGCCCCTCTATGGAAAGTCTTTTTCCACAGAAACTGTTCTGCCTAATGAAGAGCCATTAAAATTGAGGTGATTTGGGCTGAATTATTCTGTAAATAATAGTTTTAATCCCCCCGTCATAAGATATGGTATTTTATTATACAAGGAGTCCTCAGAAGGTTGCAGTGAAAGAATCCGATCTCAGAGCATGTTCATATTCCATTGATATGTTACTTACAGTTTGCACAGGTAGGAAGGTAAATGGAGAGAAATACGACAGAAGGGGAAAGTAGGTGTGAACCATTCATTAAGTAGCCTTCTACCTTTGGACCAGTGTCATTTTGGAAGAAGAGGGGGAATCCTGGAGCTCTGCAGCAGATGGGGGAGTTCCAGGTCTGGGTAAAGCTGACAGGGGCCTCAGAGGAGAGCTGAGTCCATTATGCAGGAGGGTGTGGGCAGGGCGGGCTCCAGGGCTGGCTGTGGGTCTCCCGTGTGAGAGTTGTGACAGGTGAGGGCCGTGAGCAGGTTCCTGGCTGAGGACAGGTGAGGCCCAGGTGGAGAGCTGGCCGAGCACCTTCTTCTTTGCCACCAGGCTCACCCAACACACACAACCTCATCATCTGTCCCTGTTAGTCCAGTTCAGACGTCTCAGAGTTGCCAGGCCGAGACGTTTGTTTGAGCTTCTTTCTTTGTGTGTGAAGTTTCAAAACTTTGATTATGGAAATGACGGGTCGTCAGAACATCTGTTACTCTTTCATTTCCTGCTCTTTTTTCTTTTTTAAAAATTTTTAAAAAATTTTTTATTTAGCAACTTTAAAAAAAAAATTTTTTTTATCCTGCTTTTTTTTCAATCACCAAAGAGAATCATTCCTGCTAGTGGAAGGGGCTATCTGTGTGTTTTTATTTCCCATTTTAATTAAACAATGGGAAAACAATCTTCAAAGATATTAAAAGAATCCTTTGTGAGTGTTCATGTTTTCCTGTTCCATGTACCACATTCCGATATTAGAAATTATGTTTTAAAGTAAAACACAGCCGCAGATCTGTAACAGGGTACGGTGCCCTTTGTGAGAGGGACACATGGAGAAGGAGTGTAGGTTCTTTAGGAGCTTGGGGAGTGTCTCGTCGTGCTCCCAAAGGAAATCGAGCCCCCTGTTAGCCTTCCCAATGGGGCTGCTTACCTGGTGGCCCATCTTGGGCTCTGGAAGCTTGACCCCGTGAGTCGCTTGCGACTTGAGCTGGGGAATTTATGAAGAAAACAAGGAATCCTGGAGGGTGCCTGCATCCTTTGTGCTCGGACAACTGCATGTCGCAAAGGAACCCATCACCCGTGAGGCGTGTCGGGATCCCTGAGGGTGTGGGCCTCGCTTCCTGGGCTGAGGTTGTGTCTTCCTCCTTATCTGGACCAGAGCCAGGGTGTGTGGCTATGGAGATCCAGACCCTTATGTGACCATGTCATTATTATTATTATTATTTTAAGAGAGCAATATAGACATTGACTTCGAGATACAAATATCAAAAGGAAAAACACAAGGTCAAATATATATATATAATGACTCAACTCGTGGCATGTCTCATTCGTATGGGTCATGTAGGGCTGCCCGTATGAGAAAGACGAAGGAGTTATATTTTGATAGAAGTGTGCTGTGCACACATAGTGTTTTATTCTCTCATTTGCCTTATTTCTCTGAAGGGAAACTAGAGCGGTGACTGGAGCTTGGTTTCCGACTTTAAGGAATGGGAGATAAGTGAATTGAAAGAGCAGTGTTGATGTTGACATGGTGCTCAGTGCCCAGTGAGCGAATGTTTGAAGCTCGGACTCGGAAGCGTTGGTGTTCAGCGAGGATGTTGTCCGAGTTTCTAGCACATGGAGTCACTTGGCTGGTGTGCCTCATCGGGCCAGTTCCTGCCTTTCTAAGGGCAGTTTGGAAGTGGCTTGAAACCCTAGGGCATTTGTGGAGTGGCCTGGATGGGACAGCTGTGTGGGCCAGTGTAGACACCACCCAGGGAATTCCAGAGGTAACGATGAGCACATATGTGAGGCTGGAGTTTGCTTCTCCGTGAGAAGCATTGAGCTGGAGTGGAAAGAAGTCGCTGGGTCTTATGACTCTCTGTGTGAGCAGGTCTGAGCCTGGCAGGGTAGTCGGATCAGATAGGTGGGAGGTTGTGAGGCCGTGGTGGTGGACCATCGCTCACGATGGGCAGGCCAGCTTGCTCCAGGGATAGGGACTGGGCTCTCCTCCCTGGCCAGCCCTCCTGCTGCAGATGTGATAAGAGAGTTGCTTCCTGTTTGGTTCTCGAGCCCTCGGCTCAGCAGGGTGGTTGGTGGGAAGCAGCTCACTCGCAGCATTATCGATTCTTGTGCAGTGTGCCCCCTGCTTCCTCAGAGGAGGCACAGCAGATGTCCTGTGCAGCAAAGCTTGGTTTGTGATGACATCACAGGAAAGAGGGACAGGTGCACCACTCTGCTTGACCACAGGAGGATTCCGGACTTCAATCACAGGTGGTTGGTGCAGGGAGGAGAGATGTTTGTTTCCCAGGACCTTGGGCAAAGGGAGATTTGGGTCCTGGGATGGGTCTCTGCTCAGCTTTCTCAGATGAGCACCTCAGGCAAGGAGAGGACGTGTGTGTGCTCACCTGTAATCGAGGAAAGTGTCTGGTTTCAGGTCTCATGGGCAGGTGGAGTCCTCGTATGGCTCATTTTCCTGATGGTGTTCAGGGTGCAGTAGGTGGACCCCCTTGTCCCGGGCATCCTGGCTGTGCAAGAGCTCTGGGGCACCTTTTCCCCGGGGCTTTGGACCAGGAAATCGGAGGTAGTCCATGGTGAAACCATCCGTGTAGGCCTCCGTTTCTGCCCTGCCGAGATGGACTGGTGACTGTGATAAGTTCTATATGTGGAAATATAGAGCAGGAGACAGGGATGGCATGCTGAAGGGGAGGTGGGGGTGGTGCTTGCCATTCACGTAGGGGCCAGGTGGGACTTCACTAGGAAGGTGATCCTTGAGTCAAGATCTAAAGAAGGTGAGTGATATCACATCAAGCGCATTCTAAACAGAAGGGAAAGCGTGTGCAAAGGCCCCGGGGCAGGAGCATACCAGGTATGTCCAGGAGCAGCAAGAAGGCCCTGTGGCCACAGGAGACAGCTTAGGACATGGCCTCAGGGAGGGGACAGAGGGAGACAGAAAGTCACTGCAGGGCTGTGACCCCATGGGACCCTGTTTCACTGGGCCTTCCTGGCTACAGTGCTGAGAACAGGTGACAGAGGGTTGAGGATGGGCAAGGGAGGTCCATGATGAAGCTTTTCCAGGAATTCAGGCAAGAGATGGGCTCCAGTATGGGCCAGACAGGTGGTCTTGGAAGAAGTGGTTAGTCCTATTCTGAGTACATTTTGAAGATGGAGCTCACAGGATTTGCCAATGGATTAGATATTGGGAGTGGCAGAAAGGAGGAATTGGGGTAACTCCCAGCTGTGGTTTGTTGTCCTGAGGAAGGGGAAGGAGGAGGTTTCTGGGGGTAGGAGGTAGTCCGTGTTCCCCATGCTGAGGAAGGTGCCTCTCACGGTGGATCTGCTGATGCGTGTGTCCGGGAGAACATTTAACATCTCCTCCCTCAGCAACTTTCAAGTACAAGTATCCCCCACTTTTTAAAAGTTCATGGTAAGACATTTGGGTTTTTTGAAAGATCTACGTCATTACTTGGCTTCAGTAACAGGAAGAAACCTGAAGAGGATTTCCCTCTTATGAAAGAAGTCGAAAAGTGAGCCTCGCGTTCAGCATCTGTTTTGCGGGGAGCCACTGCAGAGGCAGCCTGCACCCCAACCAGCTCCTTCCTGGGAACCGCTCTCTGCGTCCAGCCCTCAGCACTTTGAATCGTGTCTGTGAGCATCTGCTGTGTTTCATCTCCATTTATTTTGGGCATCCCTTAGGAAGTTGTGCCCTGAGGCCTAGGAAAAGCCAAAGAGAAGTCATTTTTGGAGTGTGAGCACGCTCACTATTTTTTCTGTATAAATGAATGGTAATTCCTCCTTTGGTTTACACCATTTCTGCTGTGAAAGGTTTCCTAGGAACACTTTCAAATAGCGGGGGGACCTGTACCCCATCCTGCAGGGTTAGCTTTAGTCTCCATGCTGCAGAAAACGTTCCATGACTTACGCATTTTATCACTCAAACATGTGCCTTTGACCACCTTCCCACGTGCCCCCCCATCCCCGAACCTGGCAACCACCCATCTGTTCTCAGTATCTATGCGTTCAGTATTTTTGTTTCCGTGTGGAATGTCCATGACAGCACCTGGTATTTGTCTTTCTGTGTCTGAGTTACTTAGCATAATGCTCCCAAGGTCTCTGTTTCGATGTCTGGTTACTGTGAATAATGCTGCAGTGAACATGCATCTGTCTTTTCGAGGTAGTGTTTTTGTGTTCTCCAAAGAAATCCACTCAGTAGAGCCATTCCTGGGTCATGTGATAGTTGTATTTATTTTTTTCAGGAAACTCCATACTGTTTGTCACAGTGGCTGCACCAGTTTACATTCCCACCAACAGTGCACAGGGTCCCCTTGTCTACACACCCTTGACCACACCTGGTGTCTGTCTCTGGGATGATTGTCGTCCCTACAGTTGTGAGATGATAGCTGATTGCGGTTTTGACATAGGTTTTCTTGACGACGATTAGTGATGTTGAACAACTTTTTCTGTGTCTGTTGGCCATGTGGGTGCCATCTTTGGAAAGAATGTATTCACATATTCTCCCCATTCTTTGTACAGGTCTTTTTTGTTTGTGTCTTTTGATTTGTAGGAGTGTTTTGTGTATTTTGGATA